TGTGTGGACATTAGACTAGGTGCCCAGGCACAGATGAAAAGATGAACCTTTTTCTGGGGGGTATTGTGGAACCAAGAGAGTGTTTCTAAATGTAACATTTACAGTGATTCCTTCCCCCCTTTCCTGTAAAAGCAATATATGTTCATTGCAAGGAAATTTGAATAGGAGGGGAGAGCAAAAAGATGTCAAATGCTTTCTGCATCTCTGCCCTGCAGTGGAAATACTTTGTTAACATTGATAGAAATATTTTTTTTCTCTTATCTTGTCTTGTCTGTCTGTCTATATATCTATCCATCTACCCTTCTAAATAAATGAGTGCAAACTGCTCAAGTAGTAAATAGGGCACATGATCAGAAAAAAGGGCCACTAGGTACTGACCTAGGGAAAATGAATGTAAAGCCAACAGGGAGTTATGCAGGGATTTAAGGCCCGCTGTCTAGAAGGACTGGTGTGGACCAGAGAGGCTGGTAGGGGAGGCAGAGGCGGTGGGGAAGGAAGTGAAATGGCTTGGAGAGGGCAGCGTGGCACTCTACATGTATGTAAGCTCCTTCAGAGGGAGACAATGGCTGCTGTTTCTAACCGCAAGGCTCTGGTAGAGGTGAAGAAATGAGATAATGTGAGCTTAGCCTACTGGCCTTACTCTGGCTGTCCTGAGCTTGACCAGAACTAACACACAACAGCAGTCCTTAATGATGGCTAACTAACTAACTAACACCAGCAGTCCTTAATGATGGCTGGACATTGGGAAACTTGCACATTTTCTCCCTCCTGGCCCATGTAGTACAGGGGAGGGGCCTGAGCTTTGTGGATGAGTGGCCTTTGAAGCACATACTCCTGGCCTGCAGCCTTTTCCCCAGGTATCTCTTCAAGGCAGGGAATGGCAATGCCAGGCCTGGCTCTTATCAGCCTCTGCCTAGTTGTCCTGTCTTCCTATACCTCTAAAAAGAAATTTTGTCATTTTTAATTGTGTTACTGCAAAGTACTTGGAGAGAACTTATTTCCTATTTATTCATTTAAAGAGACATGGTCTCCTATGTCCCAGGGTAGCCTTGAGCTCACTATGTAGCTGAAGATGACCTTGAACTTCTGATCTGTCTGCCTCTACCTCTGGAATGCTGAAATTGTAAGTGAACTACAGTACACAGTTTCTGTGCTCCAAAGAATGGAACCTGGGGCTTGGAGCTGAAACTGCCCAGCCTGGGAACTTACTTTAAAATAACCATTTCTTTCAAACATTGTGTTGCATACATTCAAGAAGCTTTTTTCTTTTTTCTTCACTTGTCTGTTTTGTGATCCCACTGAATGCATTAGCCAGGGAAGAGAGGCATGCTCCTCTATCAGTCTTGACCTTCTGGTACCCACTCATCTCCTCTCTGCTCCAGTGCTTCAGAGCACTGGAGAAAGACTTACAAAACCTGTCTGGTAAGGATGGATCGAAGCAGAGTCATAGGGCATCCTCTGTCCCAGGAAGACACAGGTATCCTTATCTGATCATTTCTCACAGCCACTAATAAGCCCACTTGGGTACCATAAATAGATATTCCCCATAAATAGGTGTAATTCCCACGTTACCACAATAACCTTCATCTGCTTATAGATGGTACTGGCCTCCATCTGACCTTCATGTTTCCCCAGTTCTTCCCCAGAATGACCATTCCCGTGTTGCCTGTAAGATGCCTTTGTCACTACTCCCTGTGACCATATGGGAAGCAATTCCTCTCACATCCCCACTGGACTCTGCTCCCCAGGAGTGACCCCTCTTTTTTTCAGCTTTCAGGGGTCCCTCACCTTTCATCTCTTGCCCCCATTTTCTGTACCCAAATCTGTGTCTCTTGTTGACATAACAGCTTCACTATAGGGTGCATTCTCTGAGAGAGGCCAGGAGAGGGGTGGCTAAGCTTCAGCTGCCAGGATTGTGCCTGAGGCACTAGCAAGGGGAAGCCAGGACCCTGGATAGCTGCAGGAACTCCTGTCCTCATCCTGACTGGTTACTGCTACCCTCACCAGAGTGAGGGGCTGAAATGCAAGGGATTCTGAACTGTGGAATCCCTCCAGGCCCTGCCCAACTATGCAAGGCAGAAGGGTCACAGGACTTAGATGGATTCTCTAAAGGCACTCCTCTGACCCCAAAGTCAGCATGGAGGCTGTCTCCTCCCAGGGTTGGGGCAAAGCATGGGTGGATTCTTAAGTTTCTAATCAGACATTCTTGGCCTTAAGCTTTAAGTAGCCACTTTGTACTGAGTCCCAAGGGTTCTAAAGTGGGTTTCAACTGAAGTATATGAGTGGGCTCCAAAGCACTCAGTGGGTACTCCAGAGTGGGAAGATCATAGAAGATTATAGATCACCTCAGGCCCTGCCCACTCCAGTGGTGGAGTGGGTGGGTGTTGGGGGCAATGATCTTGATGGCCAAGGGCAGTCAATTCACACCTGCTCCCCAAATCCCAGGCAACCTCAGCATCCTCTGTGCTTGAAATGGGGTCTCAATACATAGCCCAGGCTGGTCTTGAGCTGGATATCCTCTTCCTCATTTCCTGAGTGCTAGAATTGTAGGCATGCAACACCATGTGTTCTCTCTCCTACTTCACAACTCTATCCCCTCCATCTTCCCAGGAAACGATGGGAGGCAGCAGGAGACTCCCCCCCCCAACCCCAAAGGCTGGTACCTATTTCCACCCCAGCTCTGGTAATGCTGGCAGGCCTCAGCTTTTTGGCGATTCTCAGCCTACTTCTTATCCTTGGTAAAGGAGGCTCTGGGCAGAGGACACCTTCAGCCTGAGGTGCTGTTGGAGAAGGACTAGAACTGAGCTGCCATCCTTTGCCCTCTCCCACAAACGAAAAGAAAGAAAGAAAGAAAGAAAGAAAGAAAGAAAGAAAGAAAGAAAAAAGAAAAAGAAAAAAGAGGCAAAGTGGTAGGAGTGGGATTTATCCTATGACCTCCAGAGCAAGCCTTGTGCATTTGGGTTCTGTTGCTCTTTCTCCTGTCTGATCCTGAGCCCAAGGGCTGGGATATACTTAGCTGCTTGGGTATGTTGTGGTGTCCAGGGTGAGGAGAGCCAAGGATTGGTGGAGAGGCCAGATGGGAGAGACAGAGAGCAAGTGAGGCAGGCAGAGGTATCCTAAGAGCTAGACCCTCCCTCCCAGGAAGTCTGTCTATCTCTGGGCCCTCCCTCCTCTTTTACCCATTTCTTAATACCTTCCCTATCTATGGAAGAGACAGAAGGGCTGCACTGAGTGTGAAAACTGGAGAATGTTCACAGAAATGGGGTCTGCTACTTTATTTCTGGATACTATCTGGCACTGGCAGATGATGGCCTTAACTGCGCCTGGGCTCATGTGTTGCATATCTGTATGCTTATGTACATGTCAATACAAGTAAGGAGGATGTATGTGCATACATGGCTGCACAAACACTACACACACACAAACACAAAATACATGCCAGTAGCATACAGGTATGCACCTAGGTAGGCCTGAATGCATGAGCCATTTATTTTAACCATTACCTACTTGGCTTTGACCTGGAAGCACTCATCCCTGATGTCTCATTGCCTGCCAGTTTCCAGATGAGGCCTCCAATGCCCTCATGGGCTTCATTGTGTGCCCTTGTTGTTCCCCCTGGGGCACCCTCTAATACCAGCACCCCATGCCTTCTCCTGGGCATAACAGCTAAACACCAGGCCCATGCTACCCTGACTCTTTCACATCTCAGACTCGGGTATGGCAAAGGTCAGGATGGGTTGCAGGTAGCTACGTGTGGTTTCTCCTCAGTGTCCCATGCAGAAAAGGCTGGTGGCAAGTTCTCAGGAATAATTATCCCAGAAGTTGTTCCTACCCACCTGGCAGAGTTTCTTCCAGGTACCCTGGAAACTGATGACCTCAAAGGGCAAAGGGAGGAAGCTAAGAGCATTGGCACTTTTGTGCAAGAGAGGTGAGCCTATGGGAAGGTTTCTGCCTCTGGCCAGGTTGGGGTCCATGGGCCATGGAATGGAAGAGTGGGGAGGTTTCCAAGGGCCTCCAGTCTCAGAGACCCTGTGCTGTAGTGGGAAGACTGAGCTATCCTGGACATCGGAGATCTGGTTCAGTGAAGGTGTGATCTGAATCAAGTAATTGTCCATCCCTGAGTGTTCTAGCCTCTTCTACTCATGAAGGGCTAGCTCACATGACCCATAAGGATTTTTCAGGTTCCCTGGACCATGATAATCAGGGACTTCATTACTATTGACACTGCTGTCTCCTTCCCAGTGTGAACGGTCTGACTTCTGTCGACAGGAAGGAATCCCGCTTTCTTACAGCTTGAGAGAGAGGGCTCTTCCTCACACTTCCCTCACAGGGTGGGAAGGTGACAGCAGGGTGCCTGACAAAGAAGGGACTGCATCAGGAGAAACTGGGTGCTGTTTCCCAGATGCCCAGGGCAGAGGCATGAGACACAGTTTCTAGGAAGTACAGCCATCTGCTTTGGTGGTGGGGCTAGGGTTGGGCTAGGGTTTGTTGCCCTTTCAAAACCATGGGAATTTCTTACAGCTTCCGGATTTCCTGTGCAGAAGACATGGTAGTAACCTCCAATTGGTGTTGCTGGGGATTGGGCCTATAGACTTGTGTCACAGCTAAAGAAGGCCAGGGATGCCCTAGACTCATGGTATGAGGGTGGGCCTCACAGCCAACTCCCGTCTTTCTCCTTTTTTTCTGCTCATTTCCTGCGGATTCCATGGTGGCCTGTCTCCAGGAAGTAGAAGTGAGTACAATTCAGGCCACATCCTGTTTTATCCTCCTTTGCCAATACCAGTATGGGATGGGGAGAGGTCCTCTGTGGGAGAGACTGGAAAGAGTTCTAGGATATCAAGAGTGGGGAGGCTATGGGCAGTGCCTGGATGGGCAGCTGTCGTTGCCATGTAGAAATAGTGGCTCAGGCCTCTCCCATCCTGTTCCCTGTAGTAGTTGAGCCCTAGCCCTGAGACGTAACCAGGACCTTTCCTTTCTCCCACTCCTCTGTCCCTTCCTAGGATGACTACATCAAGAGCTGGGAGGACAATCAGCAAGGAGATGAAGGTAACTTGTCCCTCCCAGGTGTGTGAGGGAGACTGACACCCATGAGAACAGAAGAGAAATGGCTCTGCTCTAAGGCTCTTTAAACAGCCAGGCACCTTGGGCACAGGACTTGAAATATTACCAAGGGCTGCCGGAGAGAGGGACCTTTGAGGTCTGCAGTTGGGATGTGGATCCTGGGTCTTCCTAGGTGGTTAGTGTCCCCACCTTCTGTCCCCACAGCCCTGGACACTACCAAGGACCCCTGCCAGAAGATGAAATGCAGTCGTCACAAGGTGTGCATTGCCCAAGGCTACCAGCAGGCTATGTGCATCAGCCGCAAGAAACTAGAGCACAGGTGAGTAACAGGAGTTAGGAGCCTCAGAAAGGGCTGTTTTCATCAGGAGGTGGGGCTCCATGATCCCCTTCTTTCGTACTAGGCACCTCCTGTTGCAAAACACACATTAGTGGCTCAGAACAAGAACACATGATCACACTGTTTCAGAGCAGTGGTTCTTAACCTTCCTAACACTGCAAATCTTTAATACAGTTCCTCCTGTTGTGGTAACTGGACCCCCACCATAAAATTATTTTTGTTGCTTCTTCATAACTGTAATTTTTCTACTGTAATGAATCATGATTGTAAATATCTGTATTTTCCAATGGTTTTAAGCAACTCCTGTGAAAAAGGTCGTTTTACTCAAAGGGGGCCAGGACCCACAGGTTGAGAACTGATGTTTCAGAAGGTCAGGACTTCAGGATTGGTTCTATTGGTTTGGTTGGTTCTGGCTCAGAGTCTGTGGTAATAGAGGATGACACAGAGGACTCCCTCTGAGGTCTTTATGTTCACCAGCAAGCAGGGGTTTAGGTGGACAAGAAGACATGGCCTCCATGAGAAGAAGAAAGAATCAGGGATGAAATCCTGCCTTGAGAGTTTTTTTTTTTATTTTTATTTTTTTGTGGATTGATTGATGTCTGAGGATAAAGGAGATGATATTTGTGAAGATTCAAACATCAGAATTATGTGGAAATACAGGAAAAGCTAGGGTTGGAGTGTCCCTGTTCCCCCCTGTCCCCTGGCTGTTGGAGATGTGAGTTCCTAGTCATCAGAATACCCCATAGGGACATTTGGGGACTCTCAGTCTTACCTCATAGCAACTGGCTTTCCATAAATGAGTAGAAAGAGGGATAGTAGGAGGGGGAGAGGGAGAAAGGGAGACAAACAGACAGAGACAGCCTCATCTTATCAAATACTCTTGAGACCTAGGGAACTACAGCTCCTCTCTGACCTGGGTGCCCTGTGTGTCTAAGACAGATAGGTTAGACCACACAACCAGAGCCTCCTGTTCTGATATGTGGGGATTTCACAAAATATTGAAGACTGTAGTTTCTGAGGCCTGTGGAGGAGGAGGCATTGACATTTGAGGTTTTTATACCACCTCTCCCATTTTGCAAATGTTAATGAATAACTAACTCTATTGAAAAACATGCTACTACCTGGGTGGTTGATTCCTCTTACAAACAGACCTGACTTTGCTCCTAGGAAAAGGCCAAAGGAGGGCCCATGTCCTCCATGTCCTGCCCAGTTTGTCCATTCTTAGGAGCTGGGTTTGATGCGGCAGTGGGAGAGTTGGGGGTTGGTGAGAATGGGTAGCATGGGTGAGTAATCTACTGTAGATCAATGGACTGGACTCTTGTCAGAAAGGGTCTCCTGGACCTTCTGCCAGCTCTCTGATTTTTACCTCTAACTTCACATCTTCCCCCACCCATTCTCATAGGATCAAGCAGCCTTCTCTGAAACTTCATGGAAGCAAAGACTCCATCTGCAAGCCCTGTCATATGGCCCAGCTCATTTCAGTCTGTGGCTCTGATGGCCACACCTACAGTTCAGTGGTGAGGAGCCTTGGTCCTATGTGAGGTGGAGGTGAGGTGTGCCCAAATGCCACAGGGAACAGAGGGACCACTGACTGACACCTTGAAGAGTTCCCAGGATTGATGAGTTCAGTCAGTGTGTTCAATGCAGCCCTTCAGCCCTGGCAGGGCAATCTGACCATGGGCAGGTGGAAGGCTGGGAAGAGACACACACACAAAAAAAATGTAGTTAATGCAGGTAATGCAAATGCAGTCAGTAAGGGTAAGGCTCACAAAAGTATTAAGAGCCCTGGAGGAAGCACATGAGCAAAGTTGCCTGAGCAAAGGACTTCTATGTTCCTGTCTTGTTGCTCACCAGCCAGCAGAGGGTGATTTGGGCAGCACCCTTGCAACCCCATTAGAAGATGTAGGGAAGCAGCCTTGGGAGGGAACAGATTTCTACCTTGTGAAATTTTGAGAGGACAGATGATATTTGTGAGAGCATTTTGCAAACTTAAGAGTTCTAGAGAAGCATAGGTAATGGTTAGTAACATTTCTAGAAGTAAGAAGCTGGGGCTGCTTGGCTAGGGTTGAGTTGAATAAACCTCATTTTTTGTTTGTTTTTGTTTTTGGGTCCAGGTTGGTGTTAGAACTCATTCTCCATACTTCCTTTTTTGTCATTGCATTAGGGATTCTCAGTTAAACTGAAAGTCCAGTGATATTAGTGATAGGGCTAGTCTTCTTAGTAGCCAGATTTTTCTGGAGGAATTTCCTATTTTTGCCTTCCGAGGCTAGAGTTACAGATGGAGGCCCATGCCTACCTGGTATTGACATGATTTCTGAGGATCCAAACTCAGGTCCCCATGTTTGTCCAGCAAGCACTTTAACCACTGGCTAACTCCCCAGCCCTGGGGAGACCTTTTTGGTTGGCATAAGATGTGGATATAAGAGTTCCTTGCTGAGGTTGAAGTTGCTGAGTGGATGTGGTCACAGGGTGGGGTTGGGAAGAAAGTGAGGTGAGAATGAACAATGAGTATGCTGAGAGTACATGTAGGAACCAGGGAGCTTACAAAGAAGATAGAAAGAGACAGGAGTGAGGAAGAAGAGGGGAACAAGAAAAAAAGAAGGAGTAGATGGGGAGGAGGGGAGAAGATGTGTCCCACATGAGAAGACAAGGTATCTTGTGGGCAGGAAGCTGTCAGTAAAGGTCCAGGCTATCTGGCTTCCACCTCAAGCCTTGATGTTCTCCAACAAGTATAAAAACCCATGATTGTTCTTTCCAGAGTGATAGAAATTCTCAGGGCCCCTGGCTGCAGGACCTATAGCTGACCCCCCATCACCTAGCCTGAGCTCTCTCCTGCAGTGTAAGCTGGAGCAGCAGGCGTGCCTGAGCAGCAAGCAGCTGGCAGTGAGGTGTGAGGGCCCATGTCCTTGTCCTACGGAACAGGCTACCACGTCTACCGCTGATGGCAAGTCAGGTAACCATAGTGTCTAACCATAGCTAGGCCCAGGATGTTGGGCCTAGTCAGGAAACCTGGACACCCTTCAGGACAGTAGGATAGTTTGCAGAGTGGGAAGAGACTGCTGGCCCTAACAGGAGAAGGAGTTGGACCCAGTGTGGTTTGGGATCCTGGTAGCTTAGAACAGGAAGCCAGGGTTTCATCCCTTTTCTCTTCCCTGGGTGTTGGGGAAGAGGGAGAGAAGAGGGTAGCCCTTTTACAAGGAGCCTGGCTAGACTCTGAGTGGAAAATAGGGCAAGAACAAGGGGTGGGGGTAGGAGAGTAGAAGAGAGAAAGCCCTTCCCCCTTCCTGCTTCTGCTTCCCTTAACATTGCCCAGTCTCCAGGTCTGCTGCTTTACCTTATCCATCCTCAAAAATCTGTTCTGCACTACAGAGACCTGCACAGGGCAGGACCTGGCTGACCTGGGAGATAGGCTCCGCGACTGGTTCCAGCTCCTTCGTGAGAACTCCAAGCAGAATGGCTCAGCCAGCAGTGCAGCCAGCCCTGCAGGTAGCATGGGGGAACCAATGCTTTGCCTGGGGTGGGTTGGGATTGGGAGATAGATGTCACAGGGCCAGCCTACCCCTGCCAGATCCTGAGCCTATGATGTGAACCCCCAATGAGATGTGAACCTGGAAAAAGGGAGGTCGGTTGGTTTCAGCCATGATATGATAGAGCTTAGGGCCTCCAGGGAGTAGCCAAGGAAAAGGGAAGAAACGCTGTTTTCTGGGCCTGAGGATATAGCTAGGGAGAGTATCGCCGAGCATACTTGCAAGCCCTGGATCTGATCCCCAGTACCAAGGAAACTTATAAGAAGGGCTTATAAAATGGGCTTTATGTGGTTCAGGTCCAACACTGGAGGTGAGTGGGTAGAGGCAAGGGCTGTTCTTTATTTTCTGTACCTCAAGTTTAGGCTTCAGGTTAACCTGACTTTGGACAGAAGTCTGGCTGGGGCTGAGAAATATGTAAAGAGATGGATGAACAGACAACAGAGCATACCTGAATTCCAGTCTCCTCTCTAGGGTTAGACAAGAGCCTGGGGACCAGTTGCAAGGATTCCATTGGTTGGATGTTCTCTAAGCTGGACACCAGTGGAGACCTCTTCCTGGACCAGACGGAACTGGCTGCCATCAACCTGGACAAATACGAGGTCTGCATCCGCCCCTTCTTCAACTCCTGCGATACCTACAAAGATGGTCGCGTCTCAACTGCTGAGTGGTGTTTCTGCTTCTGGAGGGAAAGTGAGTATTACCCATGGCTCTCTGGCACTGGCTTCCTTCCTGCGGGGCTCAGTCTCTCTTCAGGAGTCATAATATTTGCCTTTTGGTCACAAGCTTAGAGCCATCCCATCCCACCTCCTTGCTCTATCTATGTGGGCTTCTCTCATCAATTAGAACCCAGGGCTGCCAACACTTAGCTCTCTCCTTGGGCAGGCTTCCAGGTGGATTGGATTGTGTGGATTCTGAAGCTTATGTGTTTTGAGTGCCTTTACATAAGAGTATGAAAAAATAAATAAGTATGGGGGCTAGGGAGCTTGTTCTGTGGTAAAACCCTGATGACCTGAGTTTTAGCCCCAGAACTTTACATAAAGGTAGAAGGAGAGAACTGTCTCCACAAAGGTGTCCTCTGACCTTCACATGCTTGATGTGGTATGGTGGCTCATGCCTGCCTTCATGAATACATGAACACACACAAACATATATACACATATGTCATACACACATGATAAACACACATACACACACAATATGAGAATCTGAGAGGGGATGGTGCAAGAGATTGTACAACGAGAGTCTTGGAGTTGAAGACAAATTAGCTTTTCAGTGGTTCTCCTTCTGATGGACACATCTTTGCCCCAAACAAGTGATTATGTAACTTATTATTAGCCCTCCACACATGAAGACTTTTTTTTTTTTTTTTTTTTTTTGAGACAGGATTTTATACACCCCAGGCTGTTCTGGAACTCACCGTGTAGCTGAAACTGACCTTTCCTATAATTCCCACTGCTGGGATTACAGGCATGCAACACCACACCCATGTTTTACTTTTGTTTGTATTTCTTTCATCTTTTTGAGATGGGATATCATTTAGGCCAAGGTGGCTTATAAGCCACTCTGTATCCCAGGGTGGCCTTGGACTTGTGATCTCCTTGTTTGCCTCAGCCTCCTGAGTGCTGGGATTACAGCCATGCATGACCACGCCTGCTGCGTGACATCTGTATGCTGTATATGCTCAGAGCCAGAGCTGGATGTGTGCTTAGAAGTCATTTGGCCAAGAGGAAAATGATGGGGAAACTAAGGTCCCAAGCAAGCTGCCTGGCCAGCAGCTGGGGTAGGCCCAGTGCTTGCCTCCCTAACCACTGTATGGTCAAAGTGAGAAGCATCTGCAACTACAGGCTGAGGCTTGGCTAGGGCTCTATTGTATGCTGCTCTGGGGTCTCTAACAAGTGGCCTCATCTTTGAGAGTTATGTCTGAACTGAGAAGTATGAATATCTAATTCAGAGGCTGTGGTGAGCACAAACGGAAGTGGGTGCACAGCACTGTGGGACACATGCATCCCTCTGTGGTGTGAGGTCCACAAGCAGCCTTTCTGCCCTCTGTGCTGATCGGCCTGCCTGCTCCCAGTGCTGCTCCAACATGCCTCACTCCCCAGGCTCTTCATGTCCATCCCTTCTGCATGCAAAGAAGGCTTGGACTGTCCTGTTTTACTACCAAGCAAAACTCTGGCTTGAAAGGTCAAGGTCTCCCTGAGGTCTCTGACACTAGCTATTTTCAGGCCTGGGAGTTAAGTCAAACATCCTTTTAACCTCCTATTCCCCTGTGGTTTCTCAGCCTGTGGTGTCTGCCTGTCCCACCTTCTCTTCTCTCCTGAATTTTGTTTTTGTTTTGTTTGGTTTGGTTTAAGACAAGGTCTCACTATCTGGTTCTTGTTATCCTAGAACTGTCTATTAGACTAGGATGGCCTCAAATTTATAGCTATCTACCTGCATCTTCCTCCAGAGTGCAGTGCTTAAAGGTGTGAACCACCATGCCTAGCTCTCCTTTGATGTTTTTAACTCATCCTATGAGGGCCAACATCCCTAAAGAATCCTGGGACTCTTGGGATCATTAGCCTGTCTTAAGCTATAGTGGCCTCCCCTACCTAGACACTGGGTATCACCACCCAAAAGAGCCCTACACTTGTTTGAGGACCTTTGTGGAATCAATGCATACCACCACCACCCCAGTGGCTTGATGTGGGAGACCAACTGTCTTTTTGCAGAGCCCCCACAAAGGGTTCTAAGTCTGGGGGACTCAGTGTGCTTTCAGCACCATGGGCCAACCCTGAAGCTGCTTCTCTTTATAGAGCCCCCCTGCCTGGCAGAGTTGGAGCGTACACAGATCCAAGAGGCAGCCAAAAAGAAACAAGGTAAGGCAGGGTGCAGAGGAGTAGACCAAGGGTGCTGCCCTGAGCTTCTTTGAGGCCCAGAGATTCCAACTGCCCTGCTTTCTGGCCCATGATGAACCTAGAGGAGACTGTGGCCTACAACTGCACAGGAAAATACCCTTCTTGGTTCATTGGCTTGTTGGACACTAGTCTCCTCAGCTGTCCCTTAGGGAGTGTGTTTAAGTACTTTATGGCTATCCAGGCCAGGGCTGGAGAATCCTGTACTTAAATTCATTGCAAGAGATATGTGTCTAAGGCTAGAGTGGGGTTCCTCCATGGGAGATGCTCACTCACATTATAAACTATAAACGAACACCTTGGAGAGACAAGATAGCAGCCCAACCTAGGTCAGAACTGATGGGCAAGGCAGACAAGGTTCTTGGCCCTGTAAACATTTGGAAAGACTAGCCATGGAAACAGTCAACATGCAGATCAAAACATCAACTCAGACTGCTGTGTAGGGACAAGGACCCATGCATCTGCAGGGTGATGTTGAGGGTACAGCAATCCTGAGAGGTAGGCACACAGCACAGGCCTTGTAGTATATTGAGAGAGACAAGACCAGCACACTGAATGAGCACCCAGCCCCCAAAGCACCTATGAGGCTATGCTGACTGGGCCCACTGGCCTATAGCCCTGAGGAAGCAACTGTTTCATCTATCCTCCCAGGCAGGCCCCTGTGTCGTAGGCTCCCCACTGTAAGGTACCCAATGCTACCCTGGTTGTCTGTGTGGCTCTTATTCTTCAACTAAAACATCTCAGAAGATGCCAAGGGGACCTGAGAGAGAGAGAGATTGGTGGGCTCTGAAGAAGGAAGAGAAACCCCACATTATTAGAGGAAGACAAGCCAAGAGTAGGATCAAGCTTTCTAATATGATGAGGCCAGAATGTCCAACAAGATGAAGGTCATGAGACACAGGAAACAGCAGCAGTTGATGGTGCCCTTGAAGCAGTCTGATCATGTGGTTTAGGGACATTACGGAAGGAAGGTCTGTGTGTTCAGTCAGTAGTGCTGGAAGAAACAAGCCTTGAGTGTCTTTTCTTGAGGGGTGGGTATGAGTACCAGGCTGGCCAGGTTTTGAGGCTATCTGGACCCCTGCTCACACACAAGACTCCAGAGCCCACACTCAGGGCTCCCGCTCTAACCTTCAGGTGTCTTCATCCCGAGCTGTGATGAGGATGGCTACTACCGGAAGATGCAGTGTGACCAGAGCAGTGGCGACTGCTGGTGCGTGGACCAGCTGGGCCTGGAGCTGACTGGCACACGCATGCATGGGAACCCCGACTGTGGTAAGAGCTGGTGGCACTGGAAGCCTCCTAATGACTTGCACCTGGGTTCATGTTTGTGGGTTAGGCCTCCAGAAAGTAGATGCAGTGTGGAGGTTCCTTATCAGCCTTTCTCTTGTTCCCCCAACAGATGACATCGTGGGTTTCTCAGGGGACTATGGAAGTGGTGTCGGCTGGGAGGATGAGGAAGAAAAGGAGACAGAGGAGGCAGGAGAGGAGGCCGAGGAGGAGGAGGGTGAGGTGGGTGAGGCAGATGACGGAGGCTACATCTGGTAGATGGCCCTCAAGGGCCTTGGCAGGCCAGGGCGCCGAAGGCCAGAAAGACAGGCCAGAAGAGACCTGGACAACAGCAGGCAACTTAGCAAATGGATCCAGAAGTCAGTGTGAAGGACCCTGGCTCCAGTGAGGAGGACTGGAGAATGTGGTATGTGTGACTGGTGTGTGTGTGTGTGTGTGTGTGTGTGTGTGTGTGCGCTCATGTGTGTTGGTTGTGTCATGTGCTGACAGATGTGTCCTTGATTCATGCTGCTCCTGGCAGTAAGTCACCCAAAGGCTCCTTTCTCCTTGTAGTTATTTTCTTTTCCTTCTGTTGATTTTAAAATGCATGCACATGTACATGCAAATTGGCCAAAAATCAATGAAACAAGTTGTCCCTGATCCTGTCCTGCAGCCCCAAAACCTGGTGTTCTGATCCTGCTCTATCAGCCCTACCTTCCTCCTTTTGAGGCCAAAGAGAAGGAGGGCAGGAAGCTGAAAGCTGAGTATCCTCCTTAAAGTGGGTTGATTTGCTATGAAAGCCCTGCCCACAACTGTCTGGTGATGATGAGACAGGACTCTGTACACAGCAAGACTTGCCCTTCTGCTGATGTCTGAAGCGCTAGTTGCAGATGTGTCTAACCATGGTCCTTGGGCACACATAGTTAATGCTGACTATCCATGTAGCCCAACACAAAACTGTAAACTTACCTAAGACATAGATTTGTTTTTATTTGATAACTCAATTGAAGAGGAATTTTTGAGTGTCAGCTTAACAGATGACAGTGTTCTGCCACAATGTGAAAAGGTTGGACATACTTAATAGATTTTCTCTTAACCTATTCCTGAGTAGCCAGAGATAGCCCAGGAGAAAGGCGGGAGAGGGTAGGTCCCTGATAACCCAGTCAGGATCTGTGGCCTCATGGGGATCGAGGCTGTTTTCTTAGCAAAAAGGGGCTGTTATAGTGCTGCTGAGATTTGGAGCAGCCTGTCATGAGGACTTGCTGCTGCTACCTCTGTCCCCTGGTGAGGGGGCCCCTGTCCTAAGGAGCTGAGGATCAGAAAACAGCATATGTGTGCCCACCTCCTCCTTGACCCTCTAGGAACCAGTCCTCAAAAAACATGTCCCTGAGATCCTGCCACTTCCTATGCCTTAGGTAGTCCTGGAGGAGAGGCCTCAGAGCCACAGTGCTCTCAACCATGGGGTTTCTTCTGTCTTAAGGGTCCCCAAGACAGCTCTAGCAGAACCATGTCCCAAGCTCCATTTAAAGCCCTACAACATATGTGAATAGAGAACAGTGCATCAGCGGGACCACACTGGGCAGCTAGGCCCTGAGGTCATGCCCCCAAATCACCAAGCCCAGTGGGAGGTCCTTTTACCCAGATGCCCTATGGGGTTTGGTGTGTTTATTGCTTCCTACTTCTCCCTCTCAAAGGAAATTTCTTAATATATTTGATGAAGAATTTTTTACTTGGACCTGGACCTCTGATAACTTTTGGGACATGCACGTATGAGAGAGAGAGAGAGAGAGAGAGAGAGAGAGAGAGAGAGAGAGAGAACATCTGAGAGTCATTCTGCTGGCTGGCTGGGGAGAGTGAGAAGGGCCCCCTGTGTGATGGGAGGCTAGCCACATACTGGGTCCTTGTACTGAGGCTTTCAGAACAAGGCCCCAGTCTGGTTCCCCACCCCCCGCACTGCCCAGCATCTTGGGGCACTGGCTGGATACATCCGCTGAGTGTCATTTGGACTTTAGGGGAAGCACCTCATCCTTCCCATTCCTTTTTGCCACCCTGGAATGGCTACCTTCTTTGTCATTTCCTGGGGGAAGTGCCACTAAGCTCTATAAAGTGCTTCTCATTCCACAAGAAAGTTCTGACACTCCAGGTGTTGCCTGGTCCCATCCCCTTCCTCCTCCCTTCCTCTTCAGGCCTCTGCAACTTTCCTCTGGTTCCTGGCTCAGTCACATCAGCCCTCTGCATTCCAGAAGCAGCCCCTTCTCCTTTTCCTCTTTCTCCTCCTCCTCCAGCTGGAGTTACTTGAAACTTTCTGCTCTCCCTAGGATGGAGTCTGATTTTTCCTCTACCCCAGCTGGATTTCCAGAATGTCCCTGGGTAGCTGCAAAGGATTTTAGGCTCTCTGGAATGAGGGGGTGGAGTTCTTTCACTCTGTTCGCTGGGGACCACACTCTGTGTGTTCCTGTATCTGACTTTGTAAATATGTCTTAGGAAGAAAGCAGAAGGTGTTGAACTGTGGCAGGCATGCAGGGGTCCAGGAGCTTGTCCCTCCCTAAAGCCCCCAGCCTGCTGCTTCTCACCCCACTGAGACTGAGTCCTACAAAGGTAGGCAGAGCAGTTGTTCCTGGTGGGGCTGGAGGTCCCCAAGTACCTCCTGGTCAAGAAAGCTTCAGGTTTCTCCAGGAGCAAGGTCACAAGATCATTCTCAGTCCTGTGGTTTCATCCTTGTATAAGCTGCCTACCTATTTTCCTGCTTTCACACCCTTGCTGTGGGCCAGGGAATTAGGGCTGTGCTGGAAAGTGTTCAACCAAATTGTAGCAGCACCATGTCTTGCTGGGACCTGGAGCTGCTCTGCTAGGAGACTCTTTGGCCTGTGGGTGCTGGGAGGGATGGTGCAAGTTGGGGCAGGTTGGGGTTGGAGGAAATAAATGTGCCTTGAGAGACCACTCAGAGCTCCCAGGAGTAACAGGGATAAGACTTACCCTGGGAGCTCTGGATGGAGGCAAAGTTGGTGAGAGAGACATGGAACATCTTGACTCCCCCCCCAACCCCCAGTATCCCATAGGGGTTTCAACTACATGGGATAGGTGGGCACAGGTCCTTCCTTACTCCCTCCCCCCCTAGCTGGTTTGGCTTGGCACATATTTGGCCTTTCTTGAGCTTTTATCTGCTTCCAGTTTCATCTCTGGGTGGGGAGGTCTTTTGGTATCATCTCACCAAAGCCTGAGCCTACTGCTCTTGCAGAAAACCAGGGGCCCATCTTGGACACCTGGGTCATGATGGGCCTTCCGACCTGCAGTTGTTCCAGGGAAGGGCCCTGAAGTGCAAAGCGAGTCCCAGGCGGAGCAACCCATTTCACAGCCCGTGTCCTACTTAAGCTGTCTAATGTGCAATAACTGAGCTTAGAGTTAAACATTGTGGTCAAGTGCTTGGGTTCTGTCTGTAGATTTAAATGCTGACATTGTATCTCTCAGTAATTTTAGCTGTCTTTTAAAAAACTGAACAAGTGTTAGACCCGTGTGTGCATTGATGGGCCCTTATGCGTCCTGTGGGTTGTCCCACTTTCTCCCTTCCCCTCATGACCTGCCTCTCCCCACCTGCCTCCACCTGGGGCCCCTCACCTTGCTATCATCTTTATCTGCCTATTACTCAGCCTAAGGAAACAAATTCACTCTGCACATGCATAAAGGAAAATAAATGTTATTTTTAAGAAAGTGGAAAATAAAAACTTTATAAACACCACCTTCTGAAACATGTCTGGTTATTCTGTCTCTTAGTGTTTTCATAAAAATCGACCTTTGCAAATGAGACCCTACAGTCCAGACTACCTCAGTCAGCTCTGTGCTCTTACCACTGCAAGAGAGACCTGATTCAGCCACAGGGGATCAGACACAGCTTTGAAATGCTTAGCATTACTGCAAAGTGTCTTGCATCTAAATTAGCCTCTCTACCAGTAAGCATCCCCCAGTGTCTTGGCTACAAAGCAGAAATAAAACTGTATGTGTGTTAACACATTATGGACCTTTCCCTTTAAATTACATTTATTTATGTACTTCTTTGTGTGTGTGTGTATGTGTGTGTGTGTGCAGTGAACCATGTGTGGTAGTCAGAAGACAACTTGAGGAAGCTGGTTCCGTCCTAGCAAGTGTGCATCCTGAAGATCACTCTGGATGTCAGGTTTGGTGATAGGAGCTTTTGTACCCACAAAAGGGTCTGCTGGCCCTTCCCCATTTTTTAAATCACTTAATAAGGGTCTGGGAGATGGCTCAGTGGGTAAAATCAGACCCAAGTCTGATCCCTGAGACCTGTATGGCAGAAGGAGACACTTGACTCTTGCACATTATCCTCTGATCTTGACAAACACATGCTGTGGCACATAGAATACCCCCACCCTCATTTACATGAAAGAAATGGAAATATAAAAAATAAAATGACTTAATAGGTGATATTGTCCATTATGGATCTCCTCTTTTGATTTAATATTGTCCTGATTTTTGGACACATGCTGTTTTGGACACTGTTTCTGCTCTCTTAATAAAAATAATACCATTATGGGCTTTGGGGCCCATCTTGGGTTATTTTCCTAGCTCAGATTCCCAGAAATGGAATGGCCATGTGATGAATGTCGCTTTGTTTTGTTTTCTTCCTTAAATGCAGGCTGATCTGGAACTCTATAGGTCAAACTGGCCTTGAACTCATGGCAAGTCTCCTGTCTCAGCCTGTGAATGCTGAAAGCACAGGCACCACCAACACACTCAGCTTGCTTTCTAAATCACATAATATGAAAGCTGCCATATAAACTTTCCAATGTTTCCAAATACCACAATAACCTAGTTCTAGACCTTTCCTCATAGTTGTAAGCTGGGGGTGAAACCCAAGATGTTGCCTGAGCTAAACATGTAGTCCCAATGATCTTAAGCCACAAGGCAACTCCCTTACATCAAGCAGCTTTTTTAGGAAGGCTGAGCTGTCAGAGGCAGTCGTGTCAGCAGGATATGTTGTATGGGGTCCTTTTGTGCTGACCAGCATACAAGTACTGATTTCACAGGTCTTGTCCAGTTGGTAAGACAGACACTCATTATTTTTATTTCTTGCCAGATCTAGAGACTGTTATTCTGAGACTCTGCTCACAGGCTTCACTGCTGTGGTTTCAATGAGAGTCCTCTGAGGGCCAATGTGTTGAAGGTTTAGGCCTGAGGCTGTAGAGTACAAGTGGCAGGGCCTTTAGGAGATGGAGCCTAGTGGGAAGCAGCAGGTCATTTGGGGGCATGTCCTTGAAGGGAATTATGGGATGTTGCCCCCCCCACCTTTGCTTCTGGGCTAAGTAAACAGCTCACCCCATCATGGACTCCTTCCACAATGGTTATTTTTCTCATTGCTGGGACAATATACCTGACAAAGCCAACACAGGAAAGAAGAGGGCTTATTTTGGCTCATGGTTAGAATATAACAGTCTGTTTTGACAGCAGTGGGGAAGGAGTGTGAGGCAGTGCATCCCAAGACAGAAAACAGAAAAACATAAATGAGGGTGTTCAACTCATTCCACTCTCTTTTTTCCTTTCAATTTGGTCCAAGACCCCAGCTCATGGGAATGTGCAGCCCATATTCAGTATGACTCTTCTTCCTATTATTAGTCTGGAAACCTGTCTGGAAACCTTTACTGATCAACCAAGAGGTGTGTCTCATGGAAAGTTTGGCTTTTGGTCACAAGCTGGAGATTGCCTCTCTGCAGTAGCTTCCAATGACCTTGTTCTCTCTTTTTTTTTTCTCATTCATATAGCTCAAGCTAGCCTTAAATTGTCAGTGTAGCCAAGGATGACCTTGAACTTATCTTTGTGCTTTGTGTTGTGATTATAGCCATGCGCCATGTACAGTTTTATGCTGTACTAAAGATCAAATTCATGGCTTCCTGCATGCTAGAACAAGCACTACCAACTGAACTCAAATTTATTCTTTCCAATATAATCTTCCTGAAAATTATTGTTTCCAAAGCCAAAGCCATCCCCCCCCCTTTTTTTAAAAAAAAAAAATAGGATATCACTATGTAGACCAGGCTGGGCTCAAACTTGTGGTCCTCCTGTCTCCATCTCCTGTTCTAGAACTATCTGAGGGTACTACACCTGCTTCCTCACCTTCAGTTGGTTTATTTTTGGAAATAAAAGTTTCAACACATTTATGTGTTTCTGAAAACTTACTTGGTAATAAAAAACTAATCTTGGGTTTTTTTTTTTTTTTTTTTTTTTTTGGGCATTTAAGCAAGTCATGTCAATACTTTGGCAAATTGACTTATTTATGCTTCCTGAGTTCCTGAGTTTATACCTCTAAAGGGACCTTAACTGGAAGACATGGTTCTCTGAGATAGGAAGTGTAGGGCTGAAACACCACTGAGGTTTGGTGCATTCCCTCTCTGAGTGCATTTTCTCCACCTTTATTCTCCCAGCGCCAGGGTTCATATGCTCCTCAGAAAGTGCCAGGGTTCAGCTGTAAGCTAGAGGGTCCCATCTTCTTTTGCTTCAATGGCTTCTTGATCAGCAAGGGCTGGGTTTGCAAGGACCATTAACCAGGACCAACTGGTTGTAAGTGACAGAAACTGAGATCATTCTGACCTGGACAGTATGGAGGAGACTGCTAGCTGAGTCTGCAGTTGACATAGATTGGTATTGAGCCCTAAAAGAACCCTTTGACCCTAATTAGCCAGGAGAAGTAAAGGGGTCTGGGCTCCCTCTCCTCAATAACCTTTTATCTTTCTTACTTAAGGTTGGGGGTTGGCAGAAGGGAAGTAGAGGCCTGAACACCCCAAATTAGAGTTTTAAAAGAGAACACCACCTGTGGTTTTCCACCAAAGGCCTCTGGACCTGCTTTTGTTGTCTTGTGGGCAGAATGCTGAGATTGTCATGTCTAGGTTATGCCAACCTATGCAGCCTATTCATAGGTCTGTGACCTGAGGAGGAGACCTGGAAAGATTCAGGACCAAGAGCCCTTGGAATAAGAGGAGAGTGGGGTAAAGCGTAGTTTGGAGATGGCAAAGCCACAGTTAGTGTGAAGCTCAGGAATTTTAGAGATTGAGCCTTTCACATCTTAAAGCTAACCTCTTGAGCCCACCCAGCCACACACCTCTGTTTCAAGCTTCTTGCTCAATGATTAGTTATGCAGAAATAGAAGGAACCATAGCTCATACCTTCCCACTTCTGGGTCTTCCACATTCTATCATAAGGACCATGCTGAGACCCCACCTGGTCCTACTATTTTTCATCATCTCCATCCTTTAAGGTCCAGGACGTGTGCTGCCTCCTCTCTGAATCACTCCTGGATCCCCACCCAGCAGGGATGGCAGACTCTAACACTGGTGGTGTCCTCAATTGGCTTAGAGGAAAGAACTTTCCAGCAATGAGACTCATCCAGATAGAAGGGAGAGGTTGTGAGCACTCCATCCTGGAGGCCAAAGATCAACAGCCCATTTGGGGGATGTTGTAGGAAGGGTAGGACCTCTTGGGATTATATACTAGATTCTAAGATGGTGGCAACAAATGACCACAAACATGGAGTTAGACCACAGAAATGAGTTCTGCTGGGTTTTGGAGGTCAGAGTTCTGAGGGAGAGTCCAGCTGGCAATGTTCTTGGCTTGTAGATGAATTGCTACAGCATTCTGCTGTTTTCATATGGCATTTTCTTTGTCTCTATGTCCTGCCTCTAAGAAGGCACTTGGTTGTGGAATTAAGTCCACCCAACATCCAGGATGACTTTTTGGGATTTTTAGCCAATTGATTACATTTGCGAAGATGTAAGGGTTTACAGGAAGACACAATGTAGGGTCATGTGAAAAGTAAATTGAACACAAGCAAAGTGGCTACAGAGAAGTCTAGCCAGACAGTATGACTAGAGAATGAGTATTTCTGCCAAAAGCCAGCAGAGATCACTCAAACATTGTGCTAAACAAGGCTCCAGCAATGAGGGCACGCCTAGCTAGTAAGAGGTTTTTCAAGTTCTGAGTGGGAGGTGAGAAAGGGTGGGCAAGAAGGAGACTAAAGACAAAGGTGTTTCTGTCCTCCTTCCTCTCCGCTCTCTCTTCTTTTTTAAAATGTGTTTTGAGATAGGTCTCAGGAAGCCCAAGTGTAGCTGAGAACACTTTGTACTTTTAATCTTCCTAAGGTGGAGGCAGGAGGATCATAAATTTGAGGCTAGTTTGGACTACATAAGGAGATCTTTTCTGAAACAAACAAACAAAAAATACTAGGAGCACACTATCACGAATTGTATTATCTTTGTAACAGACAAAGACCACTACAGAAACCCACAACCAATTAAAATAAAGACTCGTGGAACTCAGTACCAGTGGATACATCTACAAAACACTTCCACATCTAAGGCTCAGGGAAAGTTACAGATGAGGGAACAAAGATTATAAGAGCCAGAAGATCAGGGAGTTTACTGTGATATTGTATCTACTAGTAACATCAGAAGCTATACCCATAAAGTCTTACATGACCCAACATGACCCAAAGGACAAATCCAGTGAACATACCAAACGGGATGGGGAAGAGCCCAGGAGGCCTAAACCCTACATTCAGAACTATAAGCAACTGAGGAGAGCTGGGGGTGGAAGATGTGGTTTTCCCCAGGGAAGAGCACACCGCTTGTTTGTCCAATGTTAAATGGTCAACCCTGAAAACATACATTCAAGTAACATTATATGGACTGAACAGATTATATTTAGGAATATGTATGTTTATACATATATGCA